TGGCATGCAGACTAGCGCCAGACACAAAATTATCACATTTTTCCAGTCTAATACCCGACATATGCCCGATTCCACCAACGTAGATTAACTTTAATCTCGGTTCAACTTACTCTTTATCTTTTTCTAGTTCTAAGAATTAGAAAAAAGTAAAGAGTAAGTTGAACCGAGATTAAAGTTAATCTACGTTGGTGGGATCGGGCATTAATCGACTAGTCAGGCATTAGCTAGCTCTAGTGTAATGCTATCTAGTTGTGGTGTGGCGCACGCTAGTTCTGATATTGTACTATCTAGCCATGATGTGGCGATAGCTAGTTCTTACGCAGTTCTTATTTTACTATACTAGAAGTAGTCTGGAGTAAACTAGCGCCAGGCTACTTCTAGTCAGACATTATTAACATATTTATATTTCTAGCGCCTCGCTAGAAATAGCTTGACGCTGATTCGCGCCACGTTAAACTAAATTTATTATATTAAATGGGGATACAACATGACAGTCAAGATGGGAACTAGCTAGACATCAGGATCTAGCATGGCACTTTCTACCAAGAAGTGTTTAATTAAATATTTCTTTAGTTTAAAAAATATTATGTTATATGGAATTACCATAATTGTATTTAATTATTATCAAACTTATTACACACACGCAACAAAATAATTGTGTTCTATTTTTATATCCAAATATTTAACAAACAGTATAAAGTTTTATTTGCTTTTTAAATATGTATTTAAATATGTATTATATTTACAAGCTAAATATTATTACGACAAAGTAAAAATTAAATGTAGAGTGTTGTGTGGGAGTATGTGATGGGAATGCTAACAAATTCAATAACGCTTACATCGGAAAGTTTGCCTTCTACCGAAAAATACAACTTGACGTTGTTTTTAAATAGAAATGTAGACTGTGTGAAATTCTCATCTGATATTCATACAAATTCTTTAATTTTATAAAAAAAAACGGTAACAAAATCAAATCTGTTGAAATATATGTGTAATACAGAAACTGAAAATTATTTTGTTGTTATTTAACTTTTTTTATATTATATTGTTTCATATTTCATATTTTATATTGTTTATTTTATGACATATAAAATATACAATACTATGTACAATATGGTAATAACATTAGAACATGTAATTTTAATTAAGAATAATCAATGTTTCTTGAGACACCTATGTAATTTTGAAATATTATATCGTTCCTATCCATTTTCTACATAAACTGGACAGAGCGTCCTATAATTTATAGACAAAATTAGATGTAGCAGCTCTGCGAAATGTGGCCTCAATTGATTGGAAGCAAAGTATAAATGTTCAATATTAAAGTTAAAACAATATAAATAAAATAAATGATATCTGTTTCGGGATTTGCAGAGCATTTTATTCAAAACTAAAATAATACAAAGTGTATAATATTACTGTGATATTAATGAACTTTTTAATAATATACACGTACTTTATAATAAGTATAGAGTTCAAATTATCATTGTAGCAATATTTATTGCAAGCGCCGTGAAATTTTCAATAGGCATTTTTCCACAGTAGGAAGTCTTATCGTACGACAATGATAATATTCATAATTTATCAGCCACGTTATGAGTAGACAATGCGCAGGCTCCGTGTACAAAAAAGGAATTTTGGAATCAACGAAGGCTTAACCGTTGATCCTCGATGCAGTTGTCTTTTGGCCGTCCACAGTAACAGACCTCTCTTCTTGAACCCCTCTCCTAAACTCCTGATTTACTTTACTTTGGGCGTGTACGATTAGTCGAAGAATTTAGCTATATCAAATTCGATTTCTTTTTAGAAAAAGAAATTTATCGGAACTTGGTAAGTGATCTTCAATCAATTTTATTATAACATTAAATTTACCTTTACTATTAAATTAGAGTTGAAATTGCATATTTAAACAATTTTTGTATTGCCATTTTTTCAATAATTTTCTTTATATGCATTTATGTGAAAAGGAAAACAAATAGAGAAAATTTATTTTAATATATATATTATATATTACTATATATTATTATTATATACTATTATATATTATTTTAATATATATTATATCACTGGCGGATCCGCGGGGGGTTTGGGGTTAAACCCCCCTCCCCTCTTCCAAGTTAAAAAAAATCAATTTTGCTAGATTCGTTTCAAGAATCTTAATAAAAAATGCATTAAAGCAAGTCAAAACTCTCCTCTATTATCGACATCAGAATCCGCTAGTGTATTATATCTATAATGGTTGGATTTAATATGGGTAATTTGAATTTTGCTCTTTTATAAGCAAATCTTATGCCTTAACAATTCCTTTTGTCAAAGTGCTGTGTTTGATACTTATACACGCATAGTAATTATAACGCAAAAATTGTTCAGATTACGATTAACTTGCATTATAATCGTAGCGGGACCAAATAATGCGAAACGTTCGAACTCCATGCGCGAGTAAGACTAATAGACATAAATTTGCGGCACCTTTTTGTGTAGTAAACGTATCGAAGGAATAATCATTAATATTTTACATTGTAATTCTCATTTCCTTTATAGAGCTATTTTCCTTTTTTGCAATATGTATTCAAAGCAATATGTATGCAAATGTGATATATAAAAACAATGCTAATTTAACAATTCAAACTTATTGCAAATAACTGATAAATTATGTTAGTTATTAAAACAAATAATATAAATTTATGTATATAAATTAGATTAAATTTTATAATTTACTTCTTTAAACATTAATTTTTTTTTATTTATAATGTTGTGAAATTAAATTTATATAACTTCAGATTTGTACGTATAGTAATTATTAATAAAATTTTCAGAGACGAAGATATTATATTGATCGTAAGTGCTGGAAGTTTAATAAAAACCACACACAAGATGATGGGTTTCAAAATAAACTTTTTATTCATACTTATTGTTCTTAATATATTTAGCATGGAATACTTATGTCAAGCAAAGAAAGAAAAACGTGAACTGCCTAAATGTAAGTGTTTTATTTCTTTTACGTTGAACACGCACAGTAATCATTTATTATACTTGCTAATATAATACTTTTCATATTATTTAGAAAATTTAAATTGTTAATAATTATTTAATACTATTATTTAATTATTTAATTATATTTAGTGATTATAAATTGCCATAAACTGCAAAAATTTGAAGTTGTCAGTTTTAATTTTACCAATAATAAAATCATAGATAATGATTAATTTTATCAATAATAGATTGATAGAATAGATAACGTACATAAATTGATATGTATTTTTTATAGTTGAATGAATGCGTTATGATTTAAGTTCTTGATCAATATATATTTTTTTTACAGTGTGTGGTCTTAATTTTGACATTGGTTCTTGCTGCGGGCAGAAGATGAAAATGAAAAAAGAAGTTCAATGGAAATTTTATTATGTGCCATCTAAGAAAGATTGTCATATTTTCAAGTACTACGGCTGCGGAGGAAATAATAATAGTTTTACAAATTATAAAGATTGCATAGAAACATGCAAATAATAGTACTCTATATATCTTAACAGTGAAGAGTATTTTAAATCTATTCGAGAATATAAAATTCTTTAAAACATAACATTATTAAAGTTTTCCTATATATTGATATGTATTTGTCATAGTTGGATATTGAGTTTAAATTAAAGTACTAAATGGAAGATCTTGTAAAGTTTTTATAATATACTTTTAAAAGTATTTTTTTTTTGCAATAATTGACTGTAATAAAATGAATTTTGCGAATATGTATATGAAATATGTAAAAATATATATGTAAATAAAGGATTAAACTACTTAATTTATTATTTCTTATATTTTTCATTATAATGCCATTTTTTAAATACGACATATAATAATATAATAACAGTAAGACATATAATAATTTGAATAAAACATAATCAGTGTTTAATTAAATATTTCTTTAGTTTAAAAAATATCATCTTATATGGAATTACCGTAATTGTATTTCATTATTATCGAACTTATTACACACACGCAACAAAATTATTGTGTTCTATTTTTTTATCCGAATATTTAACAAACAATATAAACTTTTATGTGCTTTTTGAATATGTATTTTAAAAAAGCACATAAAACTTTATACTGTTGTTAAATATTTAAATATGTATTATGTTTTCAAGCTAAATATTATTACAACAAAGTAAAAAATGAACGTAGAGTATTGTGTGGGACATTGTGATAGGAATGCTAACGAATCCAATAACGTTAATACCGGTAAGCTTACCTTCTGTCGAAAACTACATTTTTACGTGATTTTTAAATGGAAAAGTAAAATTGTATAAAATTCTCATCACACACACAGATATTCATACAAACTCTTTAATTTTATAAGAATTAACGGTAACAAAATTAAATCTGTCCAAATAAATGTGTACTACAGAAACTGAAAATTGTTTTGGTTTTTACTTAAGTTTTTTTATTATATTATTTATTTTATACTGTTTATTTTACCATATATTTAATATACAGGGTGTCTGGCAATAATCGCCCCATCGGTTATATACAGGTAGAGGAGGTCAAATCGAGTAGAAAAGTCCTTTACCATTTTTTAATTTTCATAATAAGTACTGAGTAATTAACGAAAAAAGATCGGCGAATCCGCGCGAGTAAAGCGCGCGCGGTGAGAAGGACGTCCCACTGCTACGCGATCACTAGGACACAAGGATCTAGTGTTACGCGCCGCTCGTATGTTGCCATTGTCATTTGTAGAGCGCTCCTCCCAACGCTTCATCGCGCGCCTAGTGATCGCATAGCAGTAGGATGTCCTTCTCGCTGCGCGCGCTTTACTTGCACGGATTCACCAATCTTTTTTCGTTAATTACTTAGTACTTATTACAAAAATCAAAAAATGGTAAAGGACTTTTCTACTCGATTTGACCTCCTCTACCTGTATATGACCGGTGGGGCGATTATTGCCAGACACCCTGTATAATACTATACGCAATAATCTAATAACATCAGAACATGTAATTGTATTTAAGAACAATCAATGTTTTTTCAAATTCCTATGTAATTTTTACATATTATATTGTTTCTATCTATTTTCTACATGGGCAGAACTGGGTAGAGCGTTCCATAATTTATAGACGAAATTAAAAGCTCTGACAAAATATAGTCCAATTTGTTAGAAACGAACTATTAAGTTCAGTCTTAAAGTTAAAATAATATATAAATAAGACAAGTGATATCTGTTTAGGGATTTGCAAAGCATCTTATTCAAAAATAAAATATTACGAAATGTATAATATTACTGCGATATTATTGAAATTTCAAATAATACACTTACCTTTTAATGAGTATACAGATTAGTTTATCATTGTAGCAATATTTATTGCAAACGCCGTGATATTTTCAATAGGCGTCTTTTCGAAGCCTTACCGCGCGATAGACGACAACGATGATGTTCACAATCTATCAGCCACGTTATTAGCAGACAATGCGCAGGCTTTGTGTACAGAAGAGGGATTTCGGTATTGACGAAAGAACGATCGCTATCTTCTACGCTGTTGTCTTTTGGCCGACCACAGTAACAGATGTTTCCTGAATTCGCAATTTACTTAGGCACGTACGATTAGGCGAGGAATTTAGCGAATTCTATTCTTCTAAAGAAAAGAAATCTATCAGAGCTTGGTAAGTACTCCTCAATCAATTTTATCACAACATTAAGTTTATTGTTACTATTTAGTTAAAGTTAATGTTACATATTTAAACGGATTCTTGTTTTGCCATTTTTTCAATAACTTTCTTTATATGCATTTTTGTAAAAAGGAAAACAGATGATATCGAGAAAATTTACTTTAATATATATTATATATTACTATATATTATTATTATATATTATTATACATATATAATTTTAATATATATTATATCTAGCAAGGTTGGATTTAATATGGGTAATTTGGATTTTGCTCTTTTATGAGCAAATTTTATGCCTTAACAATTCTTTTCGTCAAAGTGCTGTGTTTAATACTCATACATGTATCGTAATTATAACGCGAAAATTGTTCAGATTACGATTAAGTTATATTATAATTGCAACGGACCCAAATAATGCGGAACATGCAAATTCCATTCGAGCGAATAAGACTAATAGACAGAAATTTTTGGCATCTTTTTGCGTAGTAAACGTATTGAAGAAATAATTAATATTATTTTACATTGTAATTTCCATTTCCTCTATAGAGCAATATTTTTTTTTTTTTTGCTATATGTATGCATATCATAAATAATAAAAAATGTTAATTATACAATTTAAGTTTATTGCAAATCACTGATAAATTATGTTATCTATTAAACAAATAATATAAATTGATGTTTATAAATTAAATTAGATTTTATAATTTACTTTTTTAAACGTTAATTTTTTTATTTATGATGTAATTAAATTAAATTTATATAATTTCAGATCTGTACGTACAGTAATTATTGATAATAAAATTTTCAGAGAAGGAGATATTATATTGATTGTAACTGCTGGAATTTCAATCAAAACCACACACGAGATGATGAGTTTAAAATAAACTTTTTATTCATACTTATTGTCCTTAACATGTTAAGCATGGGATATCTATGCCCTGCAAAGAAAGATAATCCGCCTCCTAAAGTGATACCTAAATGTAAGTGATCTATTTCTTTTATGTTGAACACGCACAGTAATTATTCATTATACTTGCTATTATAATACTTTTCATATTATTTAGAAAATTCAAATTGTTATATAATAATTATTTAATACATATATTTAGTTATCATAAACTGCCATGAACTGCAAAATTTTGAAGTTGTCTGTTTAATTTTGCCAATGATAAATTGATAGATAATGATTAATTTTATCAATGATAGATTGAAAGAATAGATATTTTATTGTACATAAATTGATATGTACACGGAGAAAATTTTATATCAAAAATTATTATGTACGGTAATAGCTGCTGACCATAAAAAAATTATAAAAATTTTTACTATATTTTTCACATGTGAAACATACTAAAAATGTTGGGTCCGCAGTTTCATGGTCCGCGGTTACTGCTGTACATAGTAATTTTTGATATAAAATTTTCTCCATGTACTATTTATAGTTTAATGTATGCGTTATTATTTAAGTTTTTGCACAATATTTATCTTTTTTTTTAAGATTGTAGCCTTCCAGCTGACAGCGGTTCTTGTTTCACAGAAGAAATGGTATGGAGAGCAGGATTTAAATGGAGATATCATTATTGGCCACCAACAAAAGATTGTTATATTTTCCAGTACGGGGGTTGCGAAGGAAATAAAAATAATTTCGTAGATTATGGAGACTGCATGCATACATGCAAGGAATAATACTCTCTATACCTTAACAGTGAAGAATATTTTAAATCCATTCAAGAATATAAAATTCTTTAAAACATAACTTTTTTTAGGGTTTCCCATGTATTGATATGTATTTGTAATAACTTCAAATTAAGTTTAAATTGAAGTACTAAATAAAAGGCTCTGTGAAGTCTTTATGAAATATTTGTAAATGTGATTTATTTTTACAATAAATGACTATAATTAAATAAAATGGATATGTTCGGATATATACATAAAATATGGAAAAATATATATTTAAATAAAGGGTAGTACTTCTTAATTTAATATTTTTTATATTTTTTATTATATTGGGCATCAATACTACAAATAACAATTTAATAACATTATGGCATATAATAATTTGAATGAAACATAATCAGTGTTTATTGAAATATTCTTTTAGTTTAAAAATTATCATTTTATATAGAATAATCAAAATTGTACTAAATTATTATCAAAATTATTACACACATGCAACAAAAGTGTTGTATCCCTTTTTTATATTTAGATGTTTAACCAATTGTATAAAAGTTGATCTGCTTTTTAAATGTGTAAGGCATTTAGAAAACAATTTTAAATAAGAAGAATTAAAATTTCAGAATGTCCTAACGTTATCTACTATTTATGAGTAGATAAATATTATAATAACTTGATGTTAAATAAATTACATTTTTATGATGTCAAATGTTCAATCAAATGTTTAATATATCGATCAAATGTACTCTGGTCAATCGTATATCAGGATTAAGTTAGCGTTGGGGATAAAAATACTTCTATTGAAACACACGCCAAATTGTCGCTTTTAATTGCTCCTTCGATATTCTCCAGGCAATATTTAAATGATAATGTAAGACGGTATAAAATTTTAATATTCAGATATTTATACAAATACTTTATTTTTCTAAGAAGTAACTATAACAAAATTAAATCCGTTGAAATATATGTCTAAGAGAAAGTGAACATTTTTTTCGCTTTTATTTTCCCTTTTTTATTATATTATTTATTTCATATTGTTACACACATTTATTTTACCACATATTAAGTATGCATTACTATATACAATAATTTAATAACATCAGAACATGTATTTTTAATTAAGAATAATTATGAATAATCCATGTTTCTTGAGATACCTATGTAATTTTAAAACATTATATCTTTCTATCTATTTTCTGCCTGAACTGGACAGAGCGTTCCATAATTTATAGACGAAATTAGATATAAAAGCTCTGCGAAATATAGTCTCAATTTGTTAGAAGGAAACTATAATGTTCAATCTTAAAGTTAAAATAATATATAAATAAAACAAGTGATATCTGTTTAAGGATTTGCAAAGCATTTTATTCAAAATTAAAATATTACAAAATGTATAATAGTACTGTGATAGTATTGATATTTTAAATAATAAACGTACTTTATAATAAGTCTACAGTTCACTTTATCATTGTAGCAATATTTATTGCGAACGCCGTGATATTTTCAATAGGCGCCCTTTCGAAGAGTTACCGCACGGTAGTCGACAATGATGATGTTCACAATTTATCAGCCACGTTATTAGCAGACAATGCGCAGACTCTGTTTACAGAAAGGGGATTTCGGAATCAACGAAAAATCGATCGTGATCCTCGATGCTGTTGTCTTTTGGTCGACCACAGTAACAGACGTCTCCTGAATTCGCAATTCACTTAGTCACGTACGATTGAGCAAAAAATTTAACCAACTCTGTTCTTTTTAAGAAAAGAAACCTCAGAGCTTAGTAAGTGATCTTTAATCAATTTTATCGCAACATTAAGTTTACTTTTACTATTCAGCTAGAGTTAAAGTTACATATTTAAACAATTTTTGTTTCGCCATTTTTCAATAACTTTCATTACATGCATTTTTGTAAAAAGAAAAACAGATAATATCGAGAGAATTTATTTTAATATATACTATATCTAGCAAGGTTGGGTTTAATATGGGTAATTTAACTATTGCTCTTTTATAAGCATATCTTATACCTTAACGATTCTTTTCGTCAAAGTGCTGTGTTTAATACTCATACACGCATCGTATCTATAACTCAAAAATTGTTAAGACTACATTTAACTTATATTTTAATCGTAACGGGGGAAAAAAAATACGAAACGTGCAAATTCCATTCGAGCGAATAAGACTTATAAACAGAAATTTGCGGCACCTTTTTGCGTAGTAAACGTAGTGTTGAAGAAATAATCAATATTTTACATTATAATTCCTATTTCTTCTATAGAGCAATATTTCTTTTTTGCTATATGTATGCATGTAATAAATAATAAAAAATTGCAATAATAGTAATTTGCTAATTTTGCAATTTAAACTAATTGCAAGTAACTGATAAATTATATTATCTATTAAAACAAATTATATAAATTGATATACACATTAGACTAAATTTTATAATTTACTTGTTCGATTGTTAATCTTTTTTTTATATTCGATGTTATCAAAATTAATTTATAATTTCTTACTTAATTTATAATTTATAATTTGGGATCAGGTACGTATACTAATTTATGATAATAAAATTTTCAGAGAAGGAGATATATTGATTATATTGATTGTAACTAGAAATTCAACCCAAAGAACACACGAGACGATGGGTTTCAAAAGAAACTTGTTATTCATACTTGTTGTTTTCAACATGTTTAGCTTGGGATACCTATGTCAATCACATCCACGTGAGCCACCTAAACGTAAGTGTTCTATTTCTCTTACATTAAACATGCACAGTAAACTCTCATTATTCTTGCTATTATAATATTTTTCTATTATGTAGAAAAGTCAAATTGTTATAATAATTATTTAATACATATATTTAGTTATCATAAATTGCCATCAGCTGCAAAAATTTGAAGTTGTTTGTTTAATTTTACCAATGATAGATTGATTGATAATGATTAATGTTATCAATAATAGATTGATAGAATAGATATTGTACATAAATTGATATGTATTTTTTATAGTTTAATGCATGCGTTATAATTTAAGTTTTTGCACAATGTATATCTTTTTTATAGATTGTCAGGTAGACTATGACTCTGGTCCTTGCTTCTCGGATGAGATGGAAATGAAAAGAGAATTTGAATGGAGATATTTTTATTCGACAGCAACGAAAAATTGTCATAATTTTATGTATGGAGGCTGCGGAGGAAATAGCAATAATTTTAAAACTTATTCAGAATGTCTTACAGCATGCAATCAATATATGCATTAACAGTGAAAAATATTTTAAATCCACTCGGGAATATAAAATTCTTTAAAACTTATCATTTTTGAAGGTTTCCCATATATTGATATGTATTTGTAATAATTTTATATTGAGTTGAAACTCAAGTGCTAAATGAAAGACTTTGTGAAGTCTTTATGAAATATTTGCAAAAGTATTTTATTTTACAATAAATGACTGTAATGAAATAAAATGTGCGGATATGTATATAAAATATGTTGGAAAATATATGCATATAAAGAAATGTACTCCTTAACTTATGATTTCTTATATTTTTTATTATATTAAGCATTTTTTTAATACTACATATAAATATTTAATAACATTACAGTATATAATAATTTAAAGAAAACATAATCAGTGTTTAATTAAATATTCCTTCGGTCTAAAAAATATCATCTTATGTAGAATTACCGTAATTGTACTTAATTATTATCAAAATTATTACACACATGCAACAGAAGTGTTGCATCCTTACTTTATATTCAGATATTTTACATATTGTAAAAGTTTGATGTGCTTTTAAAATATGTAAAGTAAATAAAAAATAATTTCTTAAATAACAGGAATTTAAATTTTAGATTTTTCAAACTTTATTTGTTATTTATGGGTAGATAAATATTATAATAACTTGATGTTAAACAAATTACATTTCTATGATGCCAAATGTTCAGTCAATATATCGATCAAACATACGTAGTCAGTTGTGCATCAGTAATAAGTTAAAAAATGATATAGCATTATCTCATTGGATAATGTGTACATAATGCAATTTTTTATGCAACATTATTTATTGCAAAAATGTGAACAAACTTTTTGATCAACCCATATAATATTATGTAAAATTTAATCACATTGAAATATGTAATTTTAATTATAAATTGTCAATGTTTCTTGGGATACCTATCTAATTTTAAAGTATTATATACAAATATTATATACATTCTATCTATTTTCTACATATATTAATTGTTAACGTCCTATAGTTTGCGAACGAAACTCTGCGAAATATAGTTTTAATTGATTGCAAGCAAATTATAAAGTTTAATTTTAAAGTTAAAACAATATAAATAAAAAAAGTGATATATGTTATGAGATTTGCAATATATTTTATTCAAAAATAAAATATTACGAAATGTATGATATTACTGCGATATTATTGAAATTTGAAATAATAGACACATACTTTACGGTGAGTGTACGATTCAGATTATGATTGTAGCAAATATTTATTGCCAGCGCCGTAAAATTTTCAATAGACGTCCTTTCGAAGAGTTACCACACGGTAGTCGACAACGATGATGTTCGCAATTTATCAGCCATGTTATTAGCAGACAATGCGCAGACTCTGTTTACAGAAAGGAGATTTCGAAATCAACGAAGGATCGATCGTGATGTTTCTCGATACTGTTGTCTTTTGGCCGACCACAGTAGCGGACGTCTCTTAAAATCGCAATTTACTTGGACATGTACTATTAGGCGAGGAGTTTAAACATTTCGAACTCGATTCTTCTTAGGAAAAGAAATCTATCAGATTTTGGTAAGTGACTTTCTATAAATTTTATCACAACTTTAAATTTACTTTTACTATTTAATTCGAGTTGAAGTTATTTAAACGATTCTTGTTTCTCTTTTTTTTTAATAACTTTCTTTATATGCAATTTTGTGAAAAATAAAACAAATAATATCAACAAAATTTAATTTAACATATATTACATCCAGCAAAGTTGGATTTAATATAGATAATAAATTTTGTTCCTTTATAAAGCAAATCTTATGCGTTAACAATTTCTTTCGTCAAAGTGCTGTGTTTAATACTCATACACGCAATTATAACGCGAAAATTGTTTACACTATAATTAGTTTATGTTTAAATCGTACTAGACCAAATAATGTGAATTGTGCGAATTCCATTCGAGCAAATAAGATTAACAAAAACAAATTTGCTTTATTTTTTTGCGTAGTAAATGAGTATCGTAGTAAACTATCGTAGTATCTGAGGAATAATCATTAATATTTTACATTGTAATTCCCATTTCGTATATAGAGTTATATTTTTTTTTGCTATATGAGTGTTTCAGTGCTAGAGTTGCCTAAGCGACAATTTCTTCGAAATGAGATATTGATGTCCAAAAGTTAGACATAATTTTTAAAATCACAACCTATCTGATAGAAATAATTTCTAATCTATCTGTTGTGGGAGGTTATTTAGCCCATGTAAATATGTTATTAAAATTATACTTAATCTAGAAATGAGTTCAATAGAAACAAACTTAGAGGCAAGTTTAACCCTAAAAAATTAAGATTTACAAGTTATAAAGCGTGAAGTAGGCAATGTTTAAACAAGTTAAAATTAAGGTAAAAATAATATTCCAACATTATTGTTATATTATTTATTAAACTTACAAAAAAACCAATGCTGAATACGCATATAATAAAAAAAAATTAAACTTAATTAAAAATTAATTTAATAAAATTATACGTATATAATAATTATTAAATAAAATAGTTTTAATCACTGTGTTCTCATCTGTTACATCCATCATCTCTGGATTATTCTGTTTTTTTCCTTCCACTTCAAGGCTTCGATAAAAGTTGTTAAATATCGGTGGAATGTATTTCAATAAAGACATTAAGTCTTACTATTGCAATATGTGTGCAATTATCGTTGAAAATTAATTAAAATATTTATTACAAAATTTTGCCTAACTGTCTGTATTTCTTACAGATTTTGAAAAATTCTAAGGGACAAACTTGCCTAATCCACACATAATTTTTATTATACGCGAAAAAATTATTAAAACAAAAAATTCATTGATAAAATTATAAATATTACAAAATAACACACACATGAAGAATCCAAATTATCATAATCAGATTGATAATCTTTGTCAATATCTCTGCAATTTTCAAGAATACAACGAACGGTCTCAAACTGACTGTTTATTTGCAATGTTTATTAAACAAATTTTGTTGCGTAGGCAACTATGGCTCACAATACTTACCTGTTACCTAATTGCTTAACCTTACCTGTTACCTAATTGTCTAACCTTTAATTAGATAGCAACACTGAAAATGACTATTATAAGGGATAAATTAATTTGGTACACATAGAATGATCATTTGCAACAATGCTGTACAAAAATTAGCAATTAAAAAATGTTGTCGCTTAAGCAACTCTGGCACTGAACCACTCATATGTATGCATGTGATAAAAATAAAAAATGCTAATTTTACAATTTAAACTTATTGAAGTAACTGATAAATTATGTTATCTATTGAAACAAAAATAATATAAATTTATATGCACAAACTAGATTAGATTTTATAATTCACTTGTTCGAACATTAATTTTTTCTTTATATTTGATGTTATCAAAATTAATTTATAATTTCTAAATAAATTTATAATTTATAATTACAGATCAGTACGTATAGTAATTATTCATAATAAAATTTTCAAAGAAGGAGATATTTTATTGATCGTAACTGCCAGAAACTCAATCAAAAGGACACACGAGACAATGGCTTTCAAAATAAACTTGTTATTCATATTTGTCGTCTTTAACATATTTAGCATGGGATATCTATCTAATCCAAAATCACTTTCGATTATTTCTTCGCGACCTAAATGTAAGTGATCTATTTTTTTTACGTTGAACACGCACAGTATTCTTTCACTATACTTGCTATTATTAGAGTTTTCATATTATTTAGAAAACTCAAATTGTTAATGATTATTTAATTCATATATTTAGTTATCATAAATTGCCATCAACTGCAAAAATTTGAAGTTGTCAGTTTAATTTTACCAATAATAGATTGATAAATGATGATGATGCGTTATGATTTGAGTTCTCGCACAATGTAGTTCTTTTTTACAGATTGTTTCGAAAAAAATGTCTATGGTGCTTGCCGTTACGACCCGACGAAAATCACGCCGTACAAAAGACGCGAACCTGTCATGGCATTTGAATTTTCCAAAGTTACGGAAAATTGTGAAGGTTTCGAGTATTGGGGAGAAGATAGAAAAAATTGCGGAGCAAGTAGAAATAAATTCGATACTTATGAAGATTGTATGCGACAGTGCAAAGAGTTTACTATTTTTGACATTATAAAAGGATCGAGATCAATAAAATCAATGATAAATAAAGATTATTTACATCTTAACATTTTTGAAGAATTCCCAAAGTTTGATATCTATGTCCCATTTAGTGATTTGTAATAGTTTTATGTTGAGTTTAAATTGAAGTCCGAAATGAAAGACTCTGTAAAGTTTTTAAAATATTTAGTCTAAAATATATAAGTCCTTAAAATAAAATACTTATAGAAGTGTTTTATTTTTACAATAATTGACTATAATAAAATGACTGTAATAAAATGAAATGTACGGATATGTATATGAAATATGCAGCAATATATATGTAAATAAAGTACTTTTTAATTTAATATTTTTTATATTTTTTATGATATTTGGCATTTAATACCACATATAACAATTTAATAACATTAAGGCATATAATAATTGGAATAAAACATAATGAGTATTTATTGCAATGTTTTTTTGATTGTATAAATACCATGTTAAATAGATTTATCGTAATTGTACTTAATTATCAAAATTATTAAACACACGCAACAAAAGTGTTGTGTTTCTTTTTTATATTTCGATTTTTAACAAATTGTATATAGTTTTATGTGCATTTTAAATATGTAAATAAAAGCTATTAGAAAACTATTTCAAGTAAATAGAATTTAAATTTTCTAACTTTATTTATTATTTATAAGTAGATAAATAGAATAATAAATAGATGTTAAATAAATTACATTTTTATGACGTCAAATGTTCAGTGTCAATATATCGATCAAATAAAAGTGGTCAATCGTGCACTATTAATCATTTGACAGTTATAAAATGATATAACATATATTTTCATTGGATAATGTGTACATAGCGAAATTTTTAATGCAACATTATCTATTGCAAAAATGAAAATAAACTTTTTGATCAACCCAATATAATATTATGTGAAATTTAATAACATCAAAATATGTAACTTTAATTATAAATTGTCAATGTTTCTTGGGATATCTATCTAATTTTAAAATATTATATACAAATATTATATACATTCTATCTATTTTCAACATATATTAATTGTTAGCGTCCTATAGTTTGCAGACGAAGCTCTGCGAAATTTGGTCTCAATTGATTGGAAGCAAAGTAAAATGTTCAATTTTAAAGTCAAAACAATATAAATAAAATAAGTGTTATCTGTTCATGGATTTGCAAAGCATTTTATTAAAAAATAAAATAATACGAAATGTATAATACTACTGCGATATTATTGAAATTTTAAATATTACACGTACTCTACGATGAGTGTACGGTTCAGATAATTGTAGCAAATATATATTGCCAGCGCCGTGAAATTTTTAATAGACGTCCTTTCGAAGAGTTACCGCACGGTAGTCGACAACGATGATGTTCGCAATTTATCAGCCACGTTATTAACAGACAATGCGCAGACTCTGTTTACAGAAAGGAGGTTTCGGAATCAACGAAAGATCGATCGTCATTCTCGATGCTGTTGTCTTTTAGCCGACCACAATACGTCTCTTAAACTTGCAATCTACTTGGACATGTACTAAAAAACAAGGAATTTGAACATTTCGAACTCGATTCTTCTTAAGAAAAGAAATCTATCAGATTTTGGTAAGTGACCTTTAATAAATTTTATCACAACTTTAAATTTACTTTCACTATTTAATTACAGTTAAAATTATTTAAACAATTCTTGTTTATTTATTTCTTTAATAACTTTCTTTATATGCAATTTTGAAAAAAATAAAACAAATAATATCAAGAAAATTTAATTTAACATATATTACATCCAGCATAGTTGGATTTAAAATAAATAATAAATTTTGATCTTTTTTAAAGCAAATCTTATGCATTAACAATTTCTTTCGTCAAAGTGCTGTGTTCAATACTCATACACGCAATTATAACGCGAAAATTGTTCACACTATAATTAGTTTATGTATTAATCGTACTAGACCAAATAATGTAAATCGTGCGAATTCCATTCGAGCGAATAAGATTAACAAAAACAAATTTGCTTCACTTTTTTGCGTAGTAAATGAGTATCGTAATAAACTATCGTAGTATCTGAGGAATAATCATTAATATTTTACATTGTAATTCTCATTTCGTATATATAGAGTTATATTTTTTTTTTTGCTATATGTATGCATGTGATAAATAATAAAAAATGCTAATTTTACAATTTAAACTTATTAAAAGTAACTGATAAATTGTGTTATCTATGAAAACAAAAATAATATAAATTTATATACACAAACTAGATTAGATTTTATAATTCATTTGTTCAAACATTAATCTTTTCTTTATATTTAATTTTATCGAAATTAATTTATAATTTCTAAATAAATATATAATTTATAATTACAGATCAGTACGTATAGTAATTATTCATAATAAAATTTTCAGACAAAAAGATATTTTATTAATCGTAACTGCTAAAAATTCAATTAAAAAGACACACGAGACGATGGCTTTCAAAATAAATTTGTTATTTATATTTGTCGTCTTTAACATATCTAGCATGGGAGACATAATTTATGAACCAAAATCACCTTCGCGTGCCTCTTCGCGACCTGCATGTAAGTAATTTATTTCTTTTACGTTGAACACAGTATTCTTTTATTATACTTGCTATTATTATAGTTGTCATATTATTTAGAAAACTCAAATTGTTAATAATTATATTTAATACATATATTTAGTTATCATAAATTGCCATCAACTGCAAAAATTTGAAGTTGTTAGTTTAATTTTACCAACGATAGATTGATAAATGATGATTAATGTTATCAATGATCGATTGATAGAATAGATATTGTACATAAATTGATATGTATTTTTTATAGTTGAATAAATGCGTTATGATGTAAGTTCTTGCACAATGTATATCTTTTTTGTAGATTGTCACTTTGAGTTTGACCATGGTGCTTGCTATTCGAATTTAATGGAGAAATATTTCAAACCTGACATGAAATTTGGGTTTTCGACAGATACGGAAAATTGTGAAGTTTTTGAGTATTGGGGCTGCGGAGGAAATAGAAATAGATTCCCAACTTATAGAGAATGTATGGAAATATGCAGAAAGTATAATATTTCTGACATCCTTACATTGGCAAGAGTTTTAAAACCATTCCTGAGTAAAAAACAATTAAAACATAACATTTTTGAAGATTTTCCAGATATTGATATAATGTATGTCTCATATAATGATTTGCAATAGTTTCATGTTGAGTTGAAATTGAAGTACTAAATGAAAGACTCTGCGAAGTTTTTATAAAATACTTGTAAAAGTGTTTTATTCATACAATAATTGTCTATAATAAAATGATTGTAATAAAATAAAATGTACAAATATGTATATGAAATATGTAGCAATATATATGTAAATAAAGTACTTTTTAATTTACTATTTTTTATATTTTTCATGATATTTAGCATTTAATACCACATTTAACAATTTAATAACATTAAAGCACATAATAATTGGAATAAAACATAATCAGTGTTTATTGTAATATTTTTTTGGTTTAATAAATTCCATGTTAAATGAAATTACTGTAATTGTACTTAATTATCAAAATTATTACATACACGCAACAAAAGTGTTGTGTTCTTTTCTTACATTTAGATTTTTAACAAATTGTATATAGTTTTATGTGCATTTTAAATATGTAAAGCAATTAGGAAACTATTTCAAGTAAATAGAATTCAAATTTTCTAACGTTATTTATTATTTATAAGTAGATAAATATAATAATAAATAGATGTTAAATAAATTACATTTTTATGACGTCAAATGTTCAGTGTCAATATATTGATCAAATAAAAGTGGTCAGTCGTGCACCACTAATCATTTGACAGTTATAAAATGATATAACATATATTTTCATTGAATAATGTGTACATAATGCAATTTTTTATGCAACATTATTTATTGCAAAAATGTGAACAAACTTTTTGATCAACCCATATAATATTATGTAAAATTTAATCACATCAAAATATGTAATTTTAATTATGAATTATCAGTTTCTTGGGATACCTATCTAATTTTAAAGTATTATATACAAATATGATATACATTTTATCTATTTTCTACATATATTAATTATTAACGTCCTATAGTTTGCGAACGAACCTCTGCGAAATATAGTTTTAATTGATTGCAAGCAAATTATAAAGTTTAATTTTAAAATTAAAACAATATAAATAAAAAAAGTGATATATGTTATGGGATTTGCAAAGCATTTTATTCAAAAATAAAATATTACAAAATGTATGATATTACTGCGATATTATTGAAATTTAAAATAATAGAAACGTACTTTACGATGAGTGTACAATTCAGATTATGATTGTAGCAAATATTTATTGCCAGCGCCGTAAAATTTTCAATAGACGTCCTTTCGAAGAGTTACCGCACGGTAGTCGACAATGATGATGTTCGCAATTTATCAGCCACGTTATTAGCAGACAATGCGCAGACTCTGTTTACAGAAAGGGGATTTCGAAATCAACGAAGGATCGTAATGTTTCTCGATGCTGTTGTCTTTTGGCCGACCACAGTAGCGAACGTCTCTTAAAATCGCAATTTACTTGGACATGTACTATTAGGCGAGAAGTTTAAACATTTCGAACTCGATTCTTCTTAAGAAAAGAAATCTATCAGATTTTGGTAAGTGACTTTCTATAAATTTTATCACAACTTTAAATTTACTTTTACTATTAAATTAGAGTTGAAATTATTTAAACAATTCCTGTTACTCTATTTCTTCAATAACTTTCTTTATTTGCAATTTTGTGAAAAATAAAACAAATAATATCAACAAAATTTAATTTAACATATATTACATCTAGCAAGGTTGGATTTAATATAGATAATAAATTTTGTTCCTTTATAAAGCAAATCTTATATATATGCGTTAACAATTTCTTTCGTCAAAGTGCTGTGTTTAATACTCATACACGCAATTATAACGCGAAAATTGTTCACACTATAATTAGTTTATGTTTAAATCGTACTAGACCAAATAATGTGAGTTGTGCAAATTCTATTCGAGCAAATAAAATTAACAAAAACAAATTTGCTTCACTTTTTTGCGTAGTAAATGAGTATCGTAGTAAACTATCGTAGTATCTGAGGAATAATCATTAATATTTTACATTGTAATTCCCATTTTGTATATAGAGTTATATTTTTTTTTGCTATATGAGTGTTTCAGTGCTAGAGTTGCTTAAGCGACAATTTTTTCGAAATGAGATATTGATGTCCAAAGTTAAACATAATTTTTAAAATCACAACTTATCTGATAGAAATAATTTCTAATCTATCTGTTGTGGGAGGTTATCTAGCCCATGTAAATATGTTATTTAAAAATTATACTTAATCTAGAAATGAGTTCAATAGAAACAAACTTAGAGGCAAGTTTAACCCTAAAAAAATTAGATTTCAAGTTATAAAGCGTGAAGTAGGCAATGTTTAAACAAGTTAAAATTAAGGTAAAAAATAATATTCCAAACATTATTGTTATTATTATTTATTAAACTTACAAAAAAACCATGCTGAATACGCATATAATAAAAATTAAACTTAATTAAAATTAATTTAATAAAAATTATACGTATATAATAATTATTAAAATAAAAATAGTTTTAATCACTGTGTTCTCATCTGTTACATCCATCATCTCTGGATTATTCTGTTTTTTCCTTCCACTTCAAGGCTTCGATAAAAGTTGTGAAATATCGGTGGAATGTATTTCAATAAAGACATTAAGTCTTACTATTGCAATATGTTTGCAATTATCGTTGAAAATTAATTAAAATATTTATTACAAAATTTTGCCAAACTTTCTGTATTTCTTACAGATTTTGAAAAATTCTAAGAGACAAACTTGCCTAATCCACACATAATTTTTATTATACGCGAAAAAATTATTAAACAAAAAATTCATTGATAAAATTATAAATATTACAAAATAACACACATGAAGAATCCAAATTATCATAATCAGGTTGATAATCTTTGTCAACATCTCTGCAATTTTCAAGAATACAACGAACAGTCTCAAACTGACTGTTTATTTGCAATGTTTATTAAACAAATTTTGTTGCGTAGGCAACTATGGCTCACAATACTTACCTGTTACCTAATTGCCTAACCTTACCTGTTACCTAATTGTCTTAACCTTTAATTAGATAGCAACACTGAAAATGACTATTATAAGGGATAAATTAATTTGGTACACATAGAATGATCATTTGCAACAATGCTGTACAAAAATTAGCAATTAAAAAATGTTGTCGCTTAAGCAACTCTGGCACTGAACCACTCATATGTATGCATGTGATAAAAATAAAAAATGCTAATTTTACAATTTAAACTTATTGAAGTAACTGATAAATTATGTTATCTATTGAAACAAAAATAATATAAGTTTATATGCACAAATTAGATTAGATTTTATAATTTACTTGTTCAAACATTAATTTTTTCTTTATATTTGATGTTATCAAAATTAATTTATAATTTCTAAATAAATTTATAATTACAGATCAGTACGTATAGTAATTATTCATAATAAAATTTTCAAAGAAGGAGATATTTTATTGATCGTAACTGCCAGAAACTCAATCAAAAGGACACACGAGACGATGACTTTTAAAATAAATTTGTTATTCATACTTGTCGTTTTTAACATATTTAGCAATGGATACCTATCTAGTCCAAACTAATCTTTGTCTGCTTCTTCGCGACCTGCATGTAAGTGATTTATTTCTTTTACGTTGAACACAGTATTCTTTCATTATATTTGCTATTATTATAGTTTTCATATTATTTAGAAAACTCAAATAATTATATAATAGTTATTTAATACATATATTTAGTTATCATAAATTGTCATCAACTGCAAAAATTTGAAGTTGTCAGTTTAATTTTACCAATGATAGATTGATAGATGATGATTAATGTTATCAATGATAGATTGATAGAATAAATATTGTACATAAATTGATATGTATTTTTTATAGTTTAATGCATACGTTATGATTTAAGTTTTTGCACAATGTATATCTTTTTTACAGATTGTTTCTTAAACTTTGACTCTGGTCCTTGCCTCTCAGATGCGATGATATTGGAAGAAATATATCAAACGAAATATTATTATGTGCCAAAGCTCAAACAATGTATTGAATTCATGTACGGGGGTTGCGGTGGAAATAAAAATAATTTTATAATTTATAAAGAATGCATAAAAACATGCAGACCGATATTTCCAGAAAGATATTTACGTTAACAGTGAAGAGTATTCTATATCCACTCGGGAATATAAAACTCTTTAAAACATATTATTTTTTAGGGTTTCTCTTATATTTATATTTATTTGTAATAGCTTTATGTTGAGTTGAAATTAAAATGCTAAATGAAAGGCTGTGTGAAGTCTTTATAAAATACTTGTAAAAGTGTTTTGTTTCTACAATAAATGACTGTAATAAAACGAAATGTGCGGAGTATTTGAAATATGTCGGAAAATATATGTAAATAAAGGAATGTACTCCTTAATTTATTATTTCTTATATTTCTCATTATATTAAGCATTTTTTAATAATACAATTAAATATTTAATAATATTAAAGTATATAATAATTTGAATAAACATAATCAGTGTTTAATTACATATTTCTTTGGTCTAAAAAATATTATCTTATATTGAATTACCGTAATTGTACTTAATTATCAAAATTATTACACACATGCAACAGAAATGTTGCATCCCTTCTTTGTATTCAAATATTTTAAGTATTGTAAAAGTTTGATGTGTTTTTAAAATATGTAAAGTAAATAGAAAATATCTTCTCAAATAACAGAAATTTAAATTTTAAATTTTTCAAAGTTTATTTGTTATTTATGAGTAGATAAATATTATAATAACTTGATGCTAAACAAATTACATTTCTATGATGCCAAATGTTCAGTCAATATATCGACTAAGCATACGTGATCAGTTATGCACCAGTAATAAGTTTAAAAATGATATAGCATTATAACTTTTGATCAACTTAATATAATATTATGTGAAATTAATAACATCAAAATATGTAATTTTAATTATAAATTGTCAATGTTTCTGGGAATATGTATATAATTTTAAAATATTATAATTTTTCTACCTATTTTCGACATTAACTGGGCAGAGCATTTCATAATTTAGAGACAAAATTAGATGTAAAAAAAGCTCTGCAAAATATAGTCTCAATTGGTTGGAAGCAAAGTATAAAGTTCAATCTTTAAATTTAAGCAATATAAATAAAATAAATAATATCTCGGATTTACAAAGCATTTTATTAAAAAACAAAACAATACAAAATATATAATCTTACTGCAATATTATTGAAATTTTAAATAATATACACGTACTTTATAATGAGTGTACTGTTTAAATTATCGTAGTACCAGATACTTATTGCCAGCGCCATGAGATTTTCTATAAACGTTATTTTTAAGCCGTACCACACCGTATACGACAATGATGACATTCGCAATTTATCGTCAACGTTATTAGCATACAATGCGCAGGCTCTGTTTACAGAAAAGTGATTTCGGTATCAACGAAGGATTGATCGCGATCCTTGATGCTGTTGTCTTTTGGCCGACTACGGTAACAGATGCCTCTTGAACTTCTGATTTACTTAGGCATGTAAAATTAGGCAAGAAATTTGGCGAACTACATTCTTCTTAAGAAAAGAAATCTATCACAGCTTGGTAAGTGATCTTCAATCAATTTTATTACAACAATACATTTATTATTTTATTATTTAATTTTATTATTTAATTAGAGTTGAAATTATTTAACCAATTTCTGTTTCTTTATTTTTTCAATAACTTTCTTTATATGCAGTTTTGTGAAAAGTAAAACAAATAATATTTAAAAAATTTTATTTAACATAAATTACAGCCATCAAGGTTGAATTTAATATAGATAATAAATTTTGTTTTTATATAAAGCAAATCTTATATGCCTTAACAATTTCTTTCGTCAAAGCTGTGTTTAATATTCATATACGTATTGCAATTATGACACAAAAATTGTTCACACTACGATTAGCTTATATTTTAATCGTAAGTGGACCAAATAATGCGGACCGTGCGAATTCCATTCAAGCAAACAAGACTAATAGACACTACCAATTTTACGGCATTTTTTTGCATAGTAAAGAAAGTATTGAAGAAATAACCATTAAAATTTTACAATGTTAGTCTTATTTCCTTTATAAAGCTGTATTCTTTTTTTTGTTACATGCATGCAAGTGATAAATAATAAAAAATGCTATTTTTACAATTTAAACTTATTAAAAATAACTAATAAATTATGTTATGTAATAAAACAAATAATATAGATTCATGTACATAAATCAGATTAGATTTTATAATTTATTTGTTCAAACATTAATCCTTTTTTATTTATGATGTTCTGAAATTAAATTTATATAATTTCAGATATGTACGTATAGTAGTTATTAATAATAAATTTTTTAGAGAAGGAGACATTATATATTGACCGTAACCGCTGGAAGTTCAATCAAAGCCATACACAAGAAGATGGATTTCAAAATAAATTTCTTATTCATACTTCTTGTCTTTAGCATGGGATACCTATGTCCTGCACAAAAAGAAGTTCCGCCTCGTAAAGTGGCACCTAAATGTAAGTGTTCTATTTCTTTTACGTTGAACACGCACAGTAATCATTCATTATACTTGCTTTATAATATTTTTTATATTATTTAGAAATTTCAAATTGTTGATATATATTTAATGCATATATTTTGTTACCATAAATTGCCATAAACCGTAAAAATTTGAAGTTGTTAGTTTAATTTTACCTTAATAATAGATTGATAGAATAGATATATTATTGTACTTAAATTGATATGTATTTTTTATAGTTTAATGCATACAATCTGATTTAAGTTCTTGCACAATGTATATCTTTTTTAAGATTGTTTCTTAAACTATGACTCTGGCCCTTGCCTCTCAGATGCGATGATATTGGAAGAAGAATATCAAACGAGATATCATTATGTGCCAAATTTGAAACAATGTATTGATTTCATGTACGGGGGCTGCGGTGGAAATGAAAATAATTTTATAAGTTATAAAGAATGCATGACAACATGCAAACCAAAAGTTGTGGACAGATATTTACATTAACAGTGAAGATTATTTTAAATCCACTCCGGAATATAAAATTCTTTAACATATCTTTTTTTAGGGTGTCTTATGTATTAATATGTATTTGCAATAGTTTCATGTTGAGTTGAAATTGAAGTGCTAAATGAAAGACTTTGTAAAGTCTTTATAAAACACTTTTAAAATGTTTCATTTTTACAATAATTGACTGTAATAAAATGAATTTTGCGGATATGTATATGAAATATGTAAGAATATATATGTAAATAAAAGATTAAACTACTTAATTTATTATTTCTTAATATTTTCATTATATTGACCATTTTTTAAATACTACATATAATAATTTAATAACAGTAAAGCATATAATAATTTAAATAAAATATAATTAATGTTTAATTAAATATTTTTTTGGTTTAGAAAACATTATCTTATATGGAATTATCGTAATTATACTTAATTATTATCAAAATTATTACACACACGCAACAGAAGTGCTGTGTACTTATTTTATATTTAGATATTTCACAAATTGTATAAAGTTTTATGTGCTTCTTAAATATGTAAGGCAATTAGGAAACAATTTCAAGTAAGTAAAATTAAAATTTTTTAATTTTATTTATTATTTATATGAATAGATAAATATTGTAATAACATGATGTTAAATAAATTACAATTTTATGATGTCAAATGTTCAGTCAAATATTCAACATATCGATCAAATGTCTTCTGGTCTATCGTACATCACAGTAATAAGTTAGCGTTTAAGATAAAAGTAATTATATTGAAACATACATCAGAAAATCATTTTTTAATTGCTCTTTTAATATCCATAATTGCTCCATTTAATTAATTAATATCAATAACGCTATTACACGAAAACAGTCACCACTGTTTACTTAGCAATTCTATTTGTTTCCTTTAAAATATGGTTTTCTAGAAAACGTGCCCCTCAAATGCTTTTTTTTATTCGCATTATTAAATTTTAATCTTTTTAAGTTTTTATTTATAAAAATAATAAATGTTGTTTTATGCAATTTTATTATACTTTATTAGACGTGCATTATAGCATTTTTATTGCCTGGTGGTGCAATTATAATTACAACGTAGATCCATGCACACACTTTCAAGTTAAATATTACAACAAAGTAAAAAATAAATGTAGAATGTTGTGTGGGAAATTGTGTTGGGAATGCTAACAAATTCAATAACGCTTATATCGCAAAGTTTGCCTTCTGCAAAAAAGTACATCTTTACGCGGTTTTTAAAAAGAAGTGTAAGACTGCATGAAATTCCAATTAGATATTCAGATACAAATTCTTTAATTTTATAAGAATTAACGGAAGAAAATTAAATGTGTCAAAAATACAAAAATATAAAAAACGAAAATTGCTTCTGTTCTTATTTAACTTTTTTAATTATATTGTTTATTTTATTACATATTAAATATATAATACTAAGTACATTAATTTAATAACATCAGAACATGTAATTTTAAAAATAATCAATGTTTCTTGAATATTTATAAAATTTTAAAATATTATATCGTTTCTACCTATTTTCTACATAAATTATATATGCTCGTACTGGGTAGAGCGTTCCATAATTTATAGACGAAATTAGATGTAAAATCTCTGCGAAATATAGTCTCAATTGGTTGGAAGCAAAGTATAAAGTTCAATCTTAAAGATAAAACAATATAAATGAAATAAGTGATATTTCTTTCGGGATTTGCAAAGCATTTTATTCAAAACTAAAATAATACAAAATGTATAATACTACTGCAATATTAATAAAATTTTAAATAATATACACGTACTTTAGAATAAGTAGAGTATATTCACTTTATAATAATAAAAGTTCAGATTATTTATATCATTGTAGCAATATTTATTGCGAACGCCGTGAAATTTTCAATAGGCGTCCTTTCCGCAGTAGGAAGCCTTACCGCACAATATACGACAATGATGATATTCGCAATTTATCAGCCACGTTGTAAGTAGACAATGCGCAGGCTCTGTGTACAGAAAGGGGATTTCGGAATCAACGAAGGATCGATTATCATCCTCGATTCTGTTGTCTTTTGGCCGATCACAGTAACAGACGTCTCTTAAACTCGCACTTTACTTAGGCACGTACGATTAGGCGAGGAATTTAACCATATCGAACTAGATTTTTCTTGGGAAAAGAAATCTATCAGAACTTGGTAAGTGACCTTCAATCAACTTTATTATAACATTAAATTTACTTTTACTATTTAAGTAGAGTTGAAATATATTATTCAAACGATTCTTGGTATGCCATTTTTCCTATAACTTTCTTCGTTATATGTATTTTTGTGAAAAGTAAAACAGATGATATCGAGAGAATTTAATTTAACATGTATTACATCCAGCAAGATTGGATTAAATATAGATAATTGTTCTTATATAAAGCAAAGCTTATGCATTAGGAATTTCTTTCGTCAAATTGCTATGCTTAATACTCATACACGTAACTATAACACAATTTATGTTTTAATTGTACGCGACCAAATAATGCAAGGCGTGCGAATTCCATTCGAGCGAAGACTAATAGACACAAATATACACAAATTTGCGGCACCTTCTTGCGTAGTGAACGTATTGAAGGAATAATTATTAATATTTTACATTGTAATTCCCATTTTCTCTATAAAGCTATATTTCTTTTTTGCTATATATATATATATATATATATATATATATGCATGTGATAAATAATAAAAATGCTAAGTTTACAATTTAAACTTATTGCTAATTAGTGATAAATTATGTTATCTATTTAAACAAATATTATAAATTTATGTACATAGATAAGATTCTATAATTTACTTGTTTGAACATTAATTTCTTTTTATATATGATGTTATAAAATTAAATTTTTAATTTTAGATCTGTACATATAGTTATTATTAATTATAAAATTTTCGGAAAAGGAGAAATTATATTGATCGTACTGGCTAGAAATTCAATCAGAAGAACACACTAAACGATGGATTTCAAATTAAACTTGTTATTCATTCTTGTTGTCTTTAACATGTTTAGCATGGGATACCTATGTCCTGTAAAATATATTCCTAAGTGTAAGTGTTCTATTTCTCTAATATTAAACACGCACAGTAATTTTTCATTACATTTGCTATTATACTTTTCATATTATTTAAAAAATTTAAATTGTTAATAATTATTTAATGCATGTATTTACATAGTTATAAATTGTTATATATTGCAAAAATTTGAAGTTGTCAATTTAATTTCACCGGAATAATAGATTGATAGAATTGATATTTTATTTACATAAATTGATATGTATTTTTTTATAGTTTATTGTCTGCGTTATAATTTAAGTTTTTGCAGAATGTATATCTTTTTTACAGATTGTCGCCTTAAGTTTGACTCTGGTCCTTGTCTTTCACCAGTGACAATAAAGAATGCAAGTTATCAATGGAGATATTGGTTTTCGACAGAAACCGTAGATTGTCATACTTTCATGTACGGGGGCTGCGATGGAAATAAAAATAATTTTTTAAATTATGAAGCATGCATGAGAACATGCGCACCGTGACATGTATACAGAAAATCACATTTAGCGTAAAGAATATTTTAAATCCACTCGGGAATATAAAATTCTTTAAAACATTATATTTTTAAGGGTTTTCTATACATTGATATGTATTTGTAATAGATTAATATTGAGTTTAAATTGAAATACTAAATGGAAGACACTGTGAAATCTTTATAAAATACTTGTAAAAGTGTTTTATTTTTACATTAAATGACTCTAATAAAATAAAATGTACAGATATGTATATGAAATATGTATGTCAATAAAGGAGAGAAAGTACTTCTAAATTTATTATTTCTTTTTTTTTATATTGGGCACACATATAATACTGCATATAATAATTTAATAACATTAAAGTCTATAATAATTTGAATAGAACGTAATCAGATTTCATTGAAATATTTTTTTGATTAAAAAAATATCATCTTATATGGAATTACCGTAATTATACTTAATTATTATCAAAATTATTACACACACGCAACAGAAGTGCTGTGTACTTATTTTATATTTATATATTTAACAAATTGTATAAAGTTTTATGTGCTTCTTAAATATGTAAGGCAATTAGGAAACAATTTCAAGTAAAATTAAAATTTTTTAATTTTATTTATTATTTATAAATAGATAAATATTGTAATAACATGATGTTAAATAAATTACATTTTTATGATGTCAAATGTTCAGTCAAATGTTCAACATATCGATCAAATGTCCTCTGGTCTATCGTACATCAGTAATAAGTTAGCGTTTAAAATAAAAATAATTATATTGAAACATATAACAAAAAATCACTCATTAATTGCTGCTTTGATATCCACCATTGCTCCATTTAATTAATTAATATCAATAACGCTATTACACGAAAACAGTCACCACTGTTTACTTAGCAATTCTATTTACACTTGTTTCCTTTAAAATATGGTTTTCTAGAAAACGTGCCTCTCAAATGGTTTTCTTTTATTCGCATTATTAAATTTTAACCTTTTTAAGTTTTTATTTATAAAAATAACAAATGTTGTTATATGCGATTTTATTATACTTTATTAGACGTGCATTATAGCATTTTTATTGCCTGGTGGTGCGATTATAATTACAACGTAGATCCATGCACACATTTTCAACTAAATATTAAAACAAAGTAAAAAATAAATGTAGAATGTTGTGTGGAAGATTGTGTTGTGTGAATGCTAACGAATTCATTAACGCTTATAACGCAAAATTTGCCTTCTGCAAAAAAGTACATCTTTACTCGGTTTTTAAAAAAAATGTAAGACTGCATGAAATTCCGATTAGATATTCAGATACAAATCCTTTAATTTTATAAGAATTAACGGTAAGAAAATTAAATGTGTCAAAATATACAAAAAACGAAAATTGCTTCTGTTTTTATTTAACTTTTTTTAATTATATTGTTTATTTTATCACATATTAAATATATAATTTAATAACAGGTAACTAAGTACATTAATTTAATAACATCAAAACATGTAATTCTAAAAATAATTAATGTTTCTTAGGATACCTATGTAATTTAAAAATATTATATCGTTTCTACCTATTTTCTACATAAGTTATATATGCTCGTACTGGGCAGAGCGTTCCATAATTTATAGACGAAATTAGATGGAAAACCTTTGCAAAATATAGCCTCAATTAGTTGTAAGCAAAGTATAAAATTTAGTATTAAAGTTAAAACAACATAAATAAAATAAGTGATATCTGTTTCGGGATTTGCAAAGCATTTTATTCAAAACTAAAATAATACAAAATGTATAATACTACTGCAATATTAATGAAATTTTAGATAATATACACGTACTTTATAATAAGTAAAGTATATTTACTTTATAATAATAAAAGTTCAGATTATCATTGTAGCAATATTTATTGCGAACGCCGTGAAATTTTCAATAGGCGTCCTTTCCGCAGTAGGAAGCCTTACCGCACGATATACGACAATGATAATATTCGCAATTTATTAGCCACGTTATAAATAGACAATGCGCAGGCTCTGTGTACAGAAAGGGGATTTCGGAATCAACAAAGGATCGATCATTATCCTCGATACTGTTGTCTTTTGGCCGATCACAGTAACAGATGTCTCTTAAACTCGCACTTTACTTAGGCACGTACGATTAGGCGAGGAATTTAACCATATCGAACTAGATTTTTCTTGGGAAAAGAAATCTATCAGAACTTGGTAAGTGACCTTCAATCAACTTTATTATAACATTAAATTTACTTTTACTATTTAAATAGAGTGGAAATTATTTAAACGATTCTTGTTTTTGTTGCCATTTTTCCTATAACTTTCTTCGTTATATGTATTTTTGTGAAAAGTAAAACAGATGATATCGCGAGAATTTAATTTAACATGTATCACATCCAGCAAGGTTGGATTAAATATAGGTAATTGTTCTTATATAAAGCAAAGCTTATGCATTAGGAATTTCTTTCGTCAAATTGCTATGCTTAATACTCATACACGTAACTATAACACAAGATTTGTTCACACTATGATTAATTTATGTTAATTGTACGCGACCAAATAATGCAAGGCGTGCGAATTCCATTCGAGCAAAGACTAATAGACACAATATACACTTTGCGACACTTTCTTGCGTAGTGAACGTATCGAAGGAATGATTATTAATATTTTACATTGTAATTCCCATTTTCTCTATAGAGCTAGAGATTCCTTTTTTGCTACATATATGCATGTGATAAATAATAAAAATGCTAATTTTACAATTTAAATTTATTGCAAATTACTGATAAATTATTTTATCTATTTAAACATATATTATAAATTCATGTACATAGATAAGATTTTATAATTTACTTGTTTGAGCATTGATCTTTTTTTATATATGATGTTATAAAATTAAATTTTTAAATTTACGATCTGTACATATAATTATTATTATTTATAAAATTTTCAGAGAAGGAGATATTATATTCATTGTAACTGTTAGAAATTCAATTAAAACCACACACAAGATGATGGGATTCAAAATAAACTTGTTATTCATACTTGTTGTCTTTAGCATGTTTAGCATGGGCTACCAATGTCCATCAAAGCGAGATGAATGTAAGTGTTGTTTTTCTTTTACATTGAACACGCACAGTAATCTTTCATTATATTTACTGTATTATAAAACTTTTCATATTATTTAGAAAATTCAAATTGTTAATAATTATTTAATGCATGTATTTACATAGTTATCATAAGTTGTTATATATTGCAAAAATTTGAAATTGTCAGTTTAATTTTACCGAAATGATGGATTGATAGAATTGATAATTTATTGTACATAAATTGATATGTATTTTTTTATAGTTTTTGTCTGCGTTATGATTTAAGTTTTTGCACAATGTGTATCTTTTTTACAGATTGTAACCTTAGGTTTGACTCTGGTCCTTGCCTTTCACGATTGTCAATACAGAATGCAAGTTATCAATGGAGATATTGGTTTTCGACAGAAACCGAAGATTGTCATACTTTCATGTACGGGGGCTGCGATGGAAATAAAAATAAATTTATAAGTTATAAAGAATGCATGAAAGCATGCACACCGAAACTTCATTTCAATTTTTTACATTTATGGCAAAGAATATTTTATAAATCCACTCAGGAATATAAAATTCTTTAAAACATTATATTTTTAAGGGTTTCCCATACATTGATATGTATTTGTAATAGTTTAATATTGAGTTTAAATTGAAGTACTAAATGAAAGACACTGTGAAATCTTTATAAAATACTTGTAAAAGTGTTTTATTTTTACATTAAATGACTAATAAAATGAAATGTACAGATATGTATATGAAATATGTATGTAAATAAAAAAGAGAAAGTACTTCTTAATTTATTATCTCTTATTTTTTTTTATATTGAGCATATAATACTACATATAATAATTTAATAACATTAATGCCTATAATAATTTGAATAGAACGTAATCAGATTTCGTTAAAATATTTTTTTGGTTAAAAAATATCATTTTATATGGAATCACCGTAATTGTATTTAATTATTATCATAATTATTATGCACATGCAACAGAAGTATTGCATTTCTTTTTTATATTCAGATATTTAATATTATAGAAGTGTTATGTGCTTTTTAAATATGTAAAGTAAATATTAAACAATTTTAAATAAGAAGAATTCAAATTTTAGAATTTTCTAACTTTATTGACTATTTATGAGTAGATAAATATTAAAATAATTTGAAGTTAAATAAATTATACATTTTTATGATGCCAAATGTTTAGTGGCAATATATTAAACAAATATATGTACAATCTATGGACGTAATACACGTGGTTAGTCGTGCATCAGTTATAAGTTGGCACTGTATAATAATGATTATGTTGAAACATATATTAAAAAATTGCTTTTTAATTTCGCGCTTTCTCGATATCCGTAATTACTCTACTTAATTATTTAATATTAATAAATGCTATTGCACGAAAACAGTGACCAATTTTTACTTGTCAAATAACCCTATACTTATTTTCTGTAAAATTTATTCTTATAGAAAATTGCTCTTTAATCACTTCTTTTATTTCCTCTTTCTCAATGCCTTTCTATTATATTATTTGATAGTTATCATTTGAGCCTTTTCTTTATATGTGTTAGATTCTTTTATTTCCATTTTTAGATTTTTAATTTTTATTGAGATTTTATTTTAAAAAATTAAAAATCTAACAATGCGAATAAAAGAAATGAAGAAGGAGATTGAGGAGCAATTTTTCTAGAAGAACAGATTTTAAACAAATAAATCGAAGGTGTAATTAAAGAGCAATTTTTGGTGCATGTTTCAACATAATTATTTTTGATTATTTGATTATTTGATATTTGATTATTTGATTATTTGATAATTACTTTTATTCCCACAACGCCAACTTTTTAGTCATTTTATATTTTATCTACAGATGCAATGCATCAATTTAGTACATAATTTTGTCGCTAGAGTGTATAACACTTAAACCTTTTCTCGTTAACACTTTCTAATGATTTCTGTTCCATATATACATGACAGTGAGGTTGTGATTTTAGTTGCGTCGCGTGGTGTCGAAAGACGCAGTTGATAAATGAAAATATAACCTAACCTCTTCTCTAAGCCGGAAGCCCTCGGACCGGCTTAAAATAAACCAAGGGTTACGCGACGTTTTTTTTTAATGCTTTATACATTACCATAAGAGTCATTTATCAAAATCCTTGCGGCTTTACTGGTAAAAATTAGAAACGTGTAAATTGTGGCATAATCTTCATTTCTTTAAGTAACACGAAGAATCTGCGTGTTTCAGATGAAGACGTAATGGCGGTCTGTTGGTCGTCTATTTGCCAAGACGTAAGTATTTTAGTAATGTTCAACTTTCTTGTAATCGTTTTCAAAAACAATTATGAAGGAAATTTAATAAATATAGGAATAAAGAATGTAAGGTATAGATTAATTATATCTGTGTAGAATACTTGTTTTTACTGACAAACTAGAGTTTCAAAGAAATATAAAAAAATCCAAGATAAAACAAAGTTGCACTCAAGATATGGCGTGTATCAATTTTTTATGCATTTTATGTGTATTCTATATTGACATTCTGGAATCTTGAAAAAAAACCGCCTGAAGAATTCAGGATAAAATTAAACAAGCTCGGAAAGTAGAACACTCAGATTGCGGAATTCACTAATTTGATTCGTGCATACTCGTTTTATTGACGTCGCGGAGTCTCGCGACGCTTAACTCTCGATGATCTTATCTCTCCCCTAATGTCGTGTGTGTAATTAACATGCGCGTGAAACGCGTGATTCATCGTGTGAGCTGTTCGGCGGGAACAGACACGAGGTCTACGAGAAACTAGTGTGGAATTTGGGTTGGGGACATTATTTTACGAGAATGATATACATCACGACAGTAGACACGTGCTACTTAAGACTTGTGCGTGTAGATCAAGGTGCGACGGCTATCATTACGAATACTCGGCCAATTATTGTCTAAAAGCTTCAAAAACACGCTGCAAAAAGTTTCGATATGCATACATTATATACGAAATCAGTAAGAAAAACATCGTCTGAGAGGATTCCAAATTGTCTTTGGAATGCGGGATATTTAGTTGGATATATTTAGTGACTAATTTATTCAGAAAGAGAGAGAGAGAGATAGATAGAGAAAGAGAGAGAGGAAAGGGGGGGGAAGAGGAAATTAACAACCCCGTTGTTGAAAATATAAATATAACTTCATGTAATATCGTCAGAAAAATATTACAAATATTGAACATTTACTTTCATAACTTGAACATTTATCTCCATCTCAGAAAGTATAATTGGAGAATATACCGAAGCTCGTATCAACTTCAGTCTGTTGAGGCAGAAAGTTTCCAATCACATATTCTAACGAAAATCGATATGTACACAATAAACAGACGTAATCCTACTACAAATTATCGTTAAAACATAGTGAAATCTTCGTTGATTAACGATATGTGTTTTTGGACTAGCCATAAGTACGCAACGGATAAACATATTTTTTTATATAAATTTGTATACCTTTACAAGTAAGATACTTTTATAAATTATTCATAATCGCTGAATTTAACTATAAATTATACGAATAATGAACACATAAATTCGCGGTAGTAACATCTTCGTTTGTGAAATTAAATTAACACAAAGCGAACCAACGTCAGTTTATGATATGCAGTAATGATCGAGAATGCCCTTCGAATAATTTAACTCTCCCTGGGAAACATCTCGATGGATAGGCAAATACGGTGTATATACTTTGAAATAATAATTTTTTGTTAGATCTCGTCACGATACGCAGTGCATGGCTGAAGCAGTGCGCATTCTGCGAGATTTTTAAATTTCTTTCTAAGTAATTAAAAGTAATTAAAAGCATGAAACAAACTTTCATTGAAACAAAGTGTGTACAAAGTATTCGATAATAAACGCATTTGGTGCAAATAATTTGTTTTAAACAAATATATTAAAATGATAATAATTTTTCAATTATGATCAGTTAAAACAAAAGGATTTTAATAAATTGTTCTTCAAAATTGCAAATATTAACAAAATTTTATTGTTTGATTAATTTATAGTTATCAAGATATTTGATTTAAAAACTTGAAAAATTGTTGCAAAATGTATCTTAAATTTTGATAAAAAAAAGTTTCCAGAATTTTTTCTTGAACATCAAATACGTTTATTACTGAACATTACATGGCGAATAAAATAAAGCGATTAGACGACGTAAATCGATAATGATGCTGCGAGACTCGTGGCTGTCGAGTTTCGCGGCTGCGATTCGTGAAATCCACGTCAGCGAAGTAAAACTCAATCCCGGAAGCTCGCCCGATCGACGCAAACGGACGAAAGAATCGAGCAAAGGCCCTCCAAAAAAATTTACTAGCGTATAAGATGTATAATTTATTGTCACGAGATGTGCATCGACTTCGCGACGTGCGAGTTTGCGTCGATCGAGCGAGCCTGCGACGAAAATTCTCCTAAAACATCCTCCTGTGAGCGACAAAGTTGCTCGGCGAAAGGAACAGCGAACACAAGGCCCCTCAAGCAGGACAATCGCTGATCCAGCAGCAATTCTTTATTTTTCAAATACTTCATTTTCAGACTAAACCGTTTATTCGCTGCCCCTTCGCTGCGTCGTCCTCGCCCGCGAATTCCGCGTCGTCCCGAAACTCGCGAGCGTCCTCACAAAGACGATGACCGTCATCGTCCCGTGCTATTGTCAGCGTCACTCGGTCAGCAGTTTAAGCGCACCTTTGTCGAGGCGTTCACTACCCGTTCGCGCTGTCTTTGTCCCGGATAGTGATCGCGACCCGTACTTCCGCCGATCGCGCTCGCGAGACGATCGCGGAGACCGTCGGTGCCGGTGCGCGCGTTATCGATAAAATTAATTTATTTCCGAGGCGACGACGGTCCGCGGCGAAGTCTTGAAGGTTCCGAGGCCTTTCCAACGAGGTAGCAGATCGAAACGCGATGGAGATTGCGGTGTCGTGCGTTAGATTAGTGGTCCCTCGATAACGACACCGCGACATGCCTCCGGTCGTTTACTTGTTGTGCACCAGATTGAGAAATTCCTCGCGCGTCTTCGGATCGTCGCGGAACACACCCAGCATCGTCGAGGTCACTGTCTTGCTGTTGATCTTCTGCACGCCCCTCATCACCATGCACATGTGCCTGCAATGTATGCAAAGCGATTTTTTTTCTCGTCACCAATGATTGTTTGCGTCACCGTATAATTAAACGCGATAAGCAGAACTAACGTTGCTCCGTTAGAAACCGTTCGCGATATTAATATTAATATTCGCCTTCGCGTCAGAAAAAAAAAAAACAGATCTTATCGGTTCGCGAACGGAGAGGAATTTGGTTAACTAATGAATCGTATTGCAAATTATTCTTCCGACTTGAGAAAACACGCACGTCCCGATGATTGTAGTGGTTGATAATAATTGTCCATTTATCGTTTTTATGAAACAGATCGGTCTTATTGCTTTCGTGCGAGTCAGACGGCGGAAAGATAACGTTTATGAGTGATCTGCGCGGTATAAATCGGTTCTAAAAAAAATAGCACTATTAATTATCGGTTTATCACTTTCGCGGGGTAAATTGGGCGACGCGACGGCGGAAAAATAGCGCTAATAAATGATTCGCGCGCCAATAAAAATAGCACCGATAGCGCCAAATATAGTCCGGAAATAATATCATGAGTTATAATTTGCGCCAGCCAGTTTCCATCGTTCCCGAGATAATTCTATTATCTATTTCTATTATTCTATTATTATTGAGATATCTCCGAGCACTCCGGAAAGTGCGACGGTAAATCTAAAATCGCGCGTGTGTCATGCGACTTGTTGAATTATTCACGAAGTGCGCTCGCTCAGATGCATTTCCAATATTAATCACGCGCGATTAATAACCCCGACTGATCATTGAAGTGACAAGCCACACACACCCCTGTTGGCAGATTTATCGTCTTCGCGCTAATGCATACGCCGTGTAACGTGCAAACAACCGGATCGTTACGTGAATGATCATCGCGAGACTCGCACCACGCCTCGCGAACGCTGCGCGCGCGAACACGACGCTCGCAATAGCGCAAGGTCGTGTTCTTTTGCGGACGTGATCGTTCTACCTGCGGAAACTATCGTGCGAGCCTCAATCGAAAGGAAAAAGTGGCCTTAATCGGCGAATCGGTTCGATATCGCGCAATATCGCCGTGATATTTCGTAAAAAAGAATCATTTGCAATCTTCTGAGACTCGCGATAAAATTTTGCACATTGAATCTTATGAATTTCGATTGTAAATATAAAAAAATTGTAATTGCGTAGAAAAAGCAATTTAAATATTTCGCAATATTGTAAAACCATGGCAGATTAAAGAAATCAATGATACATACACTCCTTCGACCACAACGGCGACTCCTGCGGGCTGCACAGCTTTCGTAACCGCTATCGCAATTTGCTTCGTGAGTCGCTCCTGCACCTGCAGACGTCTGCTGAAGATCTCCACGATCCTGCAAATAGAATTTTTTTTTCGAGTTTATTTTTAAAAGTCGGAGAATTTGTCGTTAAAATTGAGGCCGAGTAAACATTAACTTTCTTTACGTTTATTATCCAGAAATACTGTGTACATTGTTAATGCCACTAAAGGCTGCGAAGGAACTAATGGTTTTAAACTCGTCAAATTGCTTTTGACAGAGCATCGATATTCAGTCATGTAATAGTTTCCATTACCAGCTGCTTACTTGCTTTTAAGCGGCGTTTAACAGGTAAACGGATAGGACCCGGGCCGTTACGCGTGAAAGTATGTATATATTCTTAAGAGACCAGCTTCGTCATATTTTTTCCTTTCACCTTAATATATTATTGATCAAGGCCAGGTCTAGTGGGCATGTCGAAATTGTCGAGGCGCCAATGGTAAATATCAAAGAATGAAGTAAATAAAGAAACGGAATTTCTCTTTTTTTTTCAAACAATTTGCATTCGTCGAAATGTCATGCTTAGAAAAAATAGCTCAGAAAAAATTTCGTTACTAATTTTATTGCAGAGTTAAAATATCAAACTAGGAAGTATAATTTTTACTGAATTGTCGTAAATGAATTAAAAATTCAATGTCAAAGACATCATTAGATGAGTTGTTCTTGAAACAGAAACTTCATCATAAGATCATTATTTTAAAAGGAAGTGACAGCCAAACTTCGCCTTCCGTATTTTAATTGTAGAAAACAATTTTTAATTCTATATAGACACTAAAAAGATCCGCGTGTCAAAAAAGTCATGTTCAGTCGATAACTCCAGGATCCCCTTTATTACGCAGGATTTTTACGCGCAAAAGAAGAGTAAATTGAACAGTTAAGTGTTTCGTTTTCACGTGGAAGAAATTAACTTTAATCTTGATCACAAGATAATTATTCCGTTGTTTTTCGACTGTTTTTTCAACTGATACTGACAGTATCGAATAAATAAAATGAAAAACAGAAGGGTGCTTATTGAAACTAAGCATCGAAACCCATTTGTTTCACATATTAATTAAAGTGATTACCTAGCGAGTTTGCTGAGACCCAGTATCTTCTTGCAGGGAAGATAACCGATCGACACTTTTCCGTAGAACGGTACCAAGTGGTGCTCGCACATGGAGAACATTTCAATGTCCTTCACTACCACCATCTCATCATGATCTTCGTCGAATACTGCGTCATTGATTACATCTGAAACAAAAACAGGAAAATTCCATCCGCTGTTTCATTGAATGACAAATACAAAGTTCCGAATTATAACTCTGCGAATCAATTAAAATTATATTATACAGAGTGGCCCGAAGAAATTTTTATCTTGTTCATTTTGTCGACTGTATATTTCAAAAACGCAAAAACGGGTCAGTTTCGTTTTCGAGAAGGATGTATAATTGTGATCAATTTAGCCTGCTGTTTTATTCCTTTCGACATTTTTTTCGCACAAAATCAATCGATTGCAAAGCAAATGGGGCGGAAAATTGTTCTCGGCTCTGCAAATACTTGTATAATGCAGAAGAAAATATCTTTAGCCGCGTGCTATCACTTTAACGCAAGCAAATGTCGTCACTTGTATCGCGAAAGGAATGTTCTTTCATTTTCAGCTGGCGAGTTATCCCGGTTGTGATTTACCCGATATTGACCTACTTACTGCACCGTGAACGCTAGTGGTAGTGTGTACATACGGGCGGACGGTCGGTGCGTATCGGTAGCTAGATAATGGGGGTGCTCTCCGCACGGTTTCCACGGCAACCTTAACAAGAAACACCTTCGCAATGACCGACAACGATGAATTCGCCTAAACCGTGCGCATTCAAACTCGAATTTTTGCGAAATAAATAACGTCGCAGAGAAAAGTTAACGATGAAACTATACCGATTTGTCGAGCTCAGCGAATGATCAGCGCGAGATGAATAGCGCTCGATTTTTAATACAAAAACAATGGAACAAGACGCGGGAACTGTGTTAATTTTATTCCAGACGACGAATTTAATCCCGTGTATTTAGTTTATCTTACTTTCCGGAAAATGAACCCGCTCGCGTCACACGTGGAAGTGGAGCAATTTCCTTTCCTCTATTCACGCCGAGCGCTCTCCGAGTGTAAAGTTCGATTTTTCGACTCGATGGCTTAAACGTGATCGGCTTTCGTCGGCGATTTGATTAACTTTTACAAGCTTTTACGCGTCAGTATTCACGCGCACGGTATTTTTGAAGATTCATCGGCGAGAAACGCTACAAATTTATCGATCAGAAATATATATATATATAAATCTCGATTTATTGAAAAAAATTTTGAGCAAATTTAGGGCAATATAAAAGCCATAGTAGAATTGTTCCGCTGAGAGAATCGTCCGAGGGTGATCGAGCTTTCGTACGAAAGTGCCTCTCGTTTCGGATTCACCCAAGCGTGCCGTACCGCCGTTAACCGAGAGAGCTTATCTCAAGGGTCTCTCGGCTGTTCAAGCTAAGCCAAAGTGAATTAAAGTCCCTCATCCATCACCTATAGTTGCTCCTAGCTTGTTCGCAGCGATACTTGATTATCGCGAACGGCTTGAGAAACAGCTTGACACAAGCTCGAGGTCTCTGCTTATGCAAAACAATAAGGAAAACATTTTTTTTTTATTAGTAGAAGAAATAAAACGCGGCGAGATGAATGAAAGAGATACAAGACAAATTTTCTTAAATTCGTTTAAAATTTAATGTCGCCGACGAAGTAAGCTTTGCTAATTAAAACGCCGCCAAAGTAAATGCGTATCTGCATAACTTGAGAATTAGATTTATTTTGCTCAACGTCGGACTTCAATCTTCTCAGCTACGCGCGAATTGTGAGAACGGAATTGTCACGTAAGGAAAAAGTTGGTTTCCTATCTAACGACACGCGCGCACTGCTCTCCGAATCTCCGCAAATCCTTGTAATTGTTCGAGCATCGTGACGTTTATACTCGATGTACGTCACGCGGAAGAATAAGAAGGTGAAGGGGATTTTTCTCTCAAGCTGTGCCTCGTGCGTCCCTGAGAACCCCATTTATATCAAGAGCTTTACGCTCTCCTTTCTGTGAATCGCACTTAAGTCCCACCCTCCCGTCCCCTTCGGCGAGTCTCATTCTTTTTCTCTCCTCCGCCTCCGCCTCCTTCTCGTGACAGAGAGCAGGTTGAAAGTAAAAAAGGCGAAAAGTCCGGTACTTTCACGAAGTACACGCGCGCCTCTATAATTCCGCGCCGTATTATTCGCAATAAAAAGAAACCTGATTACCGCGGTTTCCCAGTTAATTATTTCATTGCTCTCTCAAGTCCTCTAAATTGTATCCTCGACTCCGCCATCATTATGCCGTATATGCATCCGGAACGTTTTTATGCATATTACACTTTTTCAAATTTTAGAAATCTCTACTTTTGTTTTTACGCTACTTACTTATATAAGGCGCTAATAATTTGCTTTACAAATAATCGTTTATCTACTTAGAAATATTAATTCGATAACGCATATTTAGTGCCAAAATCAAGATTGTGGACTGTTTTATATTTCACAAATAATCACGCACTTGTTTAGTAAAATTAATAAATTGCTCGAATACATAAAAACCTGCATTCGATTCCTTCTAAAATGAAGAGAGCACTGGATTTTACACTTTAAGAAGAAAAGACTTCTTTGGTAATTCCGCTTACCATAAAATGACGCGAAATATCGTAATGATTGGCTATAATTCCTGCATCAGGAAGGAAGTCAGATTTGCAAAAAAACGTCCGCCCCAGGCGAACGGCCGTCGTCACTATTAAGAAATAATTGATGGATCACAATTGTGTAATTGCCGCTTGTAAGATTTTTTACCACACAGATCTCCGAGCACAGCCTTAGATTAGTTGACTATCGAATCAAGGTCGCACTATTCTCTTTTTCCTTTTTCTTTCTATTCGCACAGTCACGCAAATTTTGCAATATTTCAGTATTAATTAAAAAAAAATTCTTATGACAGATAATAATAGGCAATAATTTAATTATTAAAAAAGATAGTAAAAGGGCTTACCTTCGAGACTCTGATCGTAGCCTTTGGTGAAGAAAAGCATAGCTTTTGCGGCTCGTTCCGGCGTCTTTAAGAGTCCTGGCCGCTCCGGGTTCTCGCCAAGGGAGCTCAAGAGTAACTTGTAGCTCCGAGACATTTCCGGTAACATGGCCTCTCGTGTGGGCGGCCGGTGGTCCAACTCCAAATCGTGGTGGAACATGCATTTTTCGTGGCCTGAAACGTGGCAAAGCAGTGCAACAATCCGATTAGATCGTTGCGGAATGATCGTGGATCCCGATAATCGCTTTCCCTTTCGCGACCGTCGAAGCTTTTTGTTCGACGATGACGCGATGCAATGTGTCGACAGTGTCGTTATCGTGTGTCACGACCCGTGGTTGCGCTACATCCACAGTTTCGACAAATATACTTCCACGCAGTAATTTTCTTTCTATCTTCTACGATAAAATCTTCTTGAAATTCAAAATTTGGTGTGTCCGGCGCAGGGAACAATGCGGCGTGAAAAACTCGCATCGCTTTTTTGTCACCGGATTCGATGAAAGACGCAATCAATTAATCGATTGCACAATAGCTTGCGAAGCAAATTGGCCCGCAGACTCGCGCGTATTATACATGCGATCTCCCTGTGACACGCCGCGTATAAGTGATTGATAAGAATTTCGCGTTGCACCGCTATCGCGCGCACCCGATGACTGTTCTCTTCTGATAAATTGTTTAAGGAAATATAATTCCGTTGTGAAAAACGAAGCGGCGTGCAAAGTTACGCGATTGAAATGGTCTATATTTTACGCGCGTAACCGGCGTGTAGAAAGTGCTCGGTAAAACGGATTCAAGGTTTCGCGTGCAATATTATTCATGGACTCGCGAGCGATCGGCTTCTCTAAGTCGGCGACGATGACGACGAGGAGCGCGTGTTCACGTTGGAAATTCAGTTAGCCCGTCTCTTCCTAATGAACCGTGTCGCGTAATTGAATACAGCACCGACAAAGCGGTCGTTAAAGGCGTCGCAGAAAATCGTTCAGGTATCGCGACAGGGAAAGAAATTTAACAATTTGATTGTCGAGATTTCATCATCAGCGCAAAGAATGATTTAGATCAATTATGGAAAAGAACATCCATTATTTCGAAAGTTTTTTATATATGAAAAATAATGTTCTTTCCATCATTACAAAGATATAAATACATTCTTTCATATTTATTTTCATGATGATTTTGTTGCAATTGTGATTTCGGTGTGATACAATTATTTAGAATTATTTCTCTATTTAACCAAAATTTCTAAAAGAAATAACAACACAATATCGAGTTTCTTTTGTATTCTGTATAGAAAATACTTTGCAAGGCACTTAGCAATGCTGTTAAAATTGTAACAGCTATGTTACTATCGTTAATTATAATTTTTAATCATTCTTTTTTTCTCATTTTTAGCAGCCTTCGTGTTTTTTCCGAAATTTTCGATAGCATCTTGTTACGTTATGTTCGTAAAATTATATATCGCACATTACCTTAACTGTACCTTGACGATGCTCATACTTGTTTATCATATCAAGATCAGTACAGTGTAATGAAGGCGAAAACAGTCATTCCGGTGGCCGTTGAGCAAAAAAAAATTTGACGCGTACGGAAGTCGAGAGATTCACAGATTTTTTCCTGCCCATACGAGGCATTTTTAATGCACGAATTTATCGTGAAATCTAATTTTAATAATTGCCTCGCATATTAAATGCAAGCAATTGATATATAAATATAAAACTTTATTCATTCTTAAGCATATCTCAATTTTTATAAAATAAAAATATATAAAACAAAATTATAATATCAAAGCTCTTACGATAAATATCAACTAAAGAAATAAAGGGCAAATGAGTCAATCTTGGTTGTCCATACATATATTTTTTAATTTAAGCTTGTAATCACAAACGTTTGTGCCTAAATAAGGCCTTCATCAGTGTACAAATTATTAATGCAAAAGTGTCTTACGCATCATTAAAACTATATACACATAAAAAACATTTTAAAAACCGCAACGCCAAGATGTATCGCCAAACCATTGTGTAAGAAGGTGTTGAGATTCATATCCGTACAATGGAGAAATGGAGTCGTAGTCCAAACATTATAATATAGATTACGAATATATAAATATATATGTACGGACAATTAGTATTGGCTCATTTGCCCTTTATTTCTTCAGAAAAATATATAATATATAAAACGGCTAATGCGAAACAAGAAAAGAAAATGGAAAAAGCTGTTTAAAAATATTTAATTATTATCGCTTGAGTTAACAAAGATTTTTATCGAGATAAATTTGAAAGTATTAATTTTTTAATTCTGGAATAATGTAAGAATTATTCAGAAATGCATTTTTTTAATAGTTACGAAATATGCTAGACTTCGTTACATATTAATGTGTTTTAAGATATCTCAGAAAAATATATATGTAAAATAATACGTGTAGCGGAATGTTAAGTATCAGTATTTTATGTTTTGAAGTAGTCACTCGAGAGCATAACTAAATATCAGTGGAATTTTGATATGAGCCAATATTATCGTCGATTATTTGCGTATACTAATCGGAGAAACGAGAAATAAAACTTATTATGACGAAATACATCACTGTAATAATTTCATTATCAATCTTGCATCAGTATCTTGTGCGCTTTAAAAAGAGCGTTTTTAAAGAGCGCTACAATTGGTGAAATGCAGACTGGTAGATAAGATCGAGTCAAATCAATTTGATTGAATTAAAAATCAATCGATTTTATATTTTCAAATTAATTTTTTATTTTCAAAAATCGGAATTAGTTACGAGAGCACTTGACGGTTTTCAAAAGCGCCATAATGACTTTTACGTGGCAACTTAATCGATTTCCCCGCTATTTCGAATTGCGGTACCTTTTGTCGTAGATGTACGCGGTGTTCTGGGTGTTCCGGGTACATCCAAATCGGATTCCTCGATATTATCGCTCCAAGAAACGGTCCTTAATGGTAACGGCTTCTTTATCACTATCGGCTTGTCATCCTCGTTATCGTACATCTTCAGCTTCGCGCACTGACTCGATACTCCGTTCATGATTGACGATTTTTTAACGTCGATCGTCTGTTTTTAGCAATTATTCCGATTTTGGGAGATTGAAGGAATTTTGAAACTAGTTGAGCAGTTTGGGATTTTCTATCGCCGTCTAAAGAAATTGATTCAAAACATTTTGTAGGATTAAATCAAATAATGAAATCTTCAACGTCTGAGTATCAGATGCAACATATTTTTGTATAAGCGCGTTATCGAATTGGTATTAATATTAAAAAAATATCGGACATAAATATAATCGGACAAAATATAATCGGACAATATTTTTCATGTCATTACTGACAAATAATGCGTAACATTAATTTATCACTTAATTATTTTTCGTGTTTGAAAAAAGTTTATTCTGTAATTAAGACAAACGAAATTCAAGAAACTTTGTGTTCGTTATTTTGTACATTGAATTTATTTTCTATTTATCCAACAGAATGCAAAGAACAGCAATCAAACACTTTTAATTTACTAAAAACATTTCTCATCACTAGACATCATCCGCAGCAATCGTTTGACATTTAACATTTGTCACGTCGAAAAGAACTCGTAGTTCAGCATTACGCGTGCAAAAATAATTCCCGTTAACATCAATACAATGAAAATCATGGGAAAATAATAAAATCTCGCGGCAAAATAAATCCCATATAAATTCCGCGTGAAATCAGTCGGGGAGCTTTTTCCGAGATACTTCGCATCTGACACTCTTGATTTTCATCTGCTTGGACTTACACGCAACGTGAGCCCTGCGACGTAAGGAGCGATAGAAATGCAAGGATTCGGAAACTGAAGCACACACGTATTGACCGCGAGGACGAGACACGAAAAGGGGACGACGAGGTAGAGAGCCGGCGCGTGCATTGATAGATGCACGCACGAAGAAGCCGCAGCATCAACTCTCTACTCGGACGGACGAAGCGCGACTGATGCTAGTTAGACCGAGCGAACCGACCGGCGGTGGCGACGAGAGAGAGCGAAACGTCACCCGTCCCCGTGAGTCCTTCCGAAACCGTATATATGCTCGACATCCGTGTCGCTCCCTCTCGCCCCGTTCTCCTGCTGCTGTATCACAAAGAACGAAAACTCATCTTGCTCCTTTTCGCCGGGGATCACGGGGAAAAGACGATTTTTCCCGTTCGTGACTCCTGCGGTTCTAACGACGCTATTGTGACGTCAATCGTGGAAAAACGCGCGTTGGGGCGCGATGGATTTGAATCGAGTGTCGCGGTAGATAAAGTGTATCCGGAATTTTTCTTTCATCAAAGCGTAGCAACACACTCTAACGTATTTAATGTTTCTCCCCGTTTTTCGGGGAGAAACAATAAATACGTTCGAGATATCACATTTCTTACAGACTTCCAATAAGATTACAATCTAATTTTGTTACCGAAAGTTCGCTTACAAGCTTACATGAGCTTGAAAAAGCTAGGAGTGTTGTCCGGAATTATCGGAGAATTTTGGAGGAAATTTTTATTGAGAAATGAACTCTCGATTTATGAGATTTTTATTTCACTGAATTGAATTGTCGTGAGTCGCTAAATAATTACACATTAAATGTCGTAAAATTTTCATATCGTTGTTTCATCTCTTTTCCTTTCCCCATCTCGCAATCTCGTATATGACATTCGCTGTTGATTGACAGTGAGAAAATGACTTCGTAGGGCTCGGGATTACCTGATCCTCGATTCGAGTGCATCAGGAATTAATAGGAATAATAAATTCCCCTTTGTACTCAGATTCTCGTCTCTCCTTTCTTTTCAAGCATTCTGCGCATTAATCTGATTGATTATTATAAAAAGGAATATAGTACTTTAACAGTTGAAAAAAAGAAGATTTAGTAAAAAGATTTAATAAAGAATGATGATTTTTTTTTATCAATTTATCGATTTGATAGAAGATAGAAA